TTATGGAATACGATAGCACTCTATCGGGTTGATAGAATCCATTCTAATTAAATTGGCTTGTTCTATTTCGTGTTTATTTTCCAACGCGACCGTTTTAAGGTATTTTGCACCATTGTAAATCTGAAATAATAGTAAAAAATGAACTAAAATTCGATCAACTAAAACAGGAGTCATATATCGTCACATAAAATGTATTTTTTGCAATTGCCAAACATTGAATACTAGCTATATATAAACTATCTAGTTGCCCAACCATGCGAACACCACGCACGCACGCCAACTCTCTAATCCTCCACCCGCCTCTCGCTCGCTCTTCAGGCATGCGCAACAGTATGTACCCACCCACCCGATTTTGACAACTGTTTTGTTTCTTTCAGAAAGTCTTCACCTGTCACTAAATAGAGGCGTCGGCTCCGATAATATATTCTTTGAGGACAATATGGTAGACCTATGTTTATTTTTTCCTCGGGAATGTCAAAAACTAAAGAAAGATTATAGCATGAACAGCAATCTGTAAGATGTATAAGATCGCTAAAATTACTAACCCTTATTACTGCATCAGATAAAAATTCCATTTCAATAATAAACGTTTCTTGATTTCCATAGAACAGATCAAGCGGAATTTCATTACAGTGATTACACTGAAATGTAAAGTTTTCTTGTCTTTTTCCCTGTATTCTCGCTAAACCCTTCCTGTGATTATCTAATTCAATGAACCTGAAAATTTTTCAACATTACGTTATCGTTCAAAGTGAAATTATCTTTATCATGCGAAAAATTAAATATAAATTTATAATCCTGCGAAAAATAAAATCTAGATTTTAACAAATCTTGCCGATTTATATCTAATTGGAAAAAGAAAGTTTTACAGTCCTGTCCGTCTGTTCTGTTTTTACTTTCGTACATCCGCCTGTCTATCTGTTAGTATATCTGTCTGTCTTTGAACATGATAACTTGAGTAATGTTTCAATTAATACGACGAACTATTATATATATATACATATATATATATATATATATATATATATATATATATATATATATATATATATTATATATATATATATATATATATATATATATATATATATATATATATATATATATATATATATATATATTTATATATATATATATATATATATATATATATATATATATATATATATATATATATATATATATATATATATATATATATATATATATATATATATATATATATATATATATATATATATATATATATATATATATATATATATATATATATATATATATATATATATATATATATATATATATATCAGTTTTAAATGGGGCAATTTTGAGAGATTTTCGGTAATGAAAACCGGAATCGACATTTCGATGGATTGGTTAGTTATGCCTCTGGAATAAAGTAATTACACAAATTAAAAGGAAGGGGCGTCATTTTTACAAGCTTTTTTTAAACTCACTTCCTCGGTCTGTCTGTCGTCATTCTGTCTAGATAAAAATGGCCGAGCGAAATTGCAGGCACTTCTAACTGACAGATACGGTTCGTAGTTGGTACGTTGGTCAAGACATGAAAATAATGCATTGTGACATTACATTTGACTCAATTGGATGCCTAATTAATTTTTTATGAATTAATTAAAATTAGTAGGCAGTTCTATTCACGCGCGTCATCACGACAAAAGCACGTCATCACGTTCAATAGGCGCGCAATTGTTTTTAATCATGTAACTCTGTTGTCTTGACACCAGCAGTCTAGTTCTTTACCACTAGACTACGCAATCCCATAATATTTTATGTAATAAAAAGGTTGAAAAAAATTCTGTAAATATATAATAAAGATCAACTATTTAAATAATTAAATAATAAACAGCTAGAACATGACTTCCCATAATACTTTTTGTAATAAAAAGCAAAACAAAAGGTACGGTAAATATACAATAATGATCTACTATTTAAATAATTAACCGCTAGAAGTTCCCAGCGACGGAATGTTACGTCAATGTTCGCCAGCGCATCAGCCCAGCTTCGCTTCATTGTATAACCACTCTACGTACGTGGACGTCTCAACCAGCGTTGAGATGAGATTGTTGCGTCATCACATTGACCAACGAAAGTCACGCCTACACCCGCCTCACGGAAATTTGAGTCCGTTTAACCAGTTACACATTTTAAATGGTGTATCATAATATTTGTTGCTACACTATGTTGTCTTAACATGCGTATAACTCGTTAATACTTAAAAGTATAAAAATAATAAATGCATAAAACGTTTATAATTACAAGCTTTTATAAATGCACTAAAATGAAGAAAATAATAGAATTTATTAAATATAAAATAATTTTTTTTAAAAACATGATACATCTACAGTTACTTTAAATATAAAAAAAAAATATTTTCTTTAAATATAGTAATGCACTACTGTTTATCTCACTATAAATAAAAGAGTGGGCCGCTATAATAATAAATATTTAGCAAGCGGCCCATGCTTTTATTTATATTTTTTAAAATTATTTTTCTGTTATTTGTTTTTGTAACACCACTGGGAATCTCGAAAAGTGAATCTGTACAAGTATAGCAAATACTAAAGCTTCATGGTTTGATTGATTTTCTGTGTCTGTTTAATCACAATGCTTACTGGTGCATTTATTGTTTTAGTTTCAAATCAACACAAATCATTTATAACAGTATGTTTTTCCTTAATATATGCCGTTTAATATATAAATTCAATTTTTTCTTTGTAGACTTCTCAGGCATTAATTAGCATAGTGATATGGTTCCATAGAGCTGATCACTTTATAAAGTAGATGCCTTGAAATAGTCCTCCACAAAAATTTGTTTTTAATAATTATCATATTCCTTCTCTTCTACTACTTGAAAGCGTTATATGTGCCCCTTTTTGAAAAAAATACTTTAAGGAGTGTCCTTTGTCTATTATTCGACTATTTGCAACCGCAGTGGAATATTTAAACGAAAAGCAATGGGCATCTTATGTAATTAATTAAATGAATGCTAGTTGTCACTCTGTTCGGCTGTTTGAATGATTTATCCTACCTCCCAAAAAAATTAGCTATTAGATACAAAGTAAGAAGTAGTTTACTCTGTTAATTATCTTTCATAATAATTTTCGAGTAGTGTTTTTCTTTTAAAAAGTTATTGTTCTTCAAGAGTTAGTGACTTGAATAATCACCGCTCCACTTATATTTACCAAACGACTAACAAGGTGTAAAACACACATAATATTGCTTTATGTATGGTTGGATTTTGTGCTCCATAAACGACTGGAGTCAACTGTGCTTTGCGGGATTTGCTGCACTGTAGTTCCACAACTTAGGCATCTCTAAGTATGACCCAAGACCAACTTCCATCCTCCTTCAGACGGAGCAGAATATTTTTTTACATATACAATTTTTATTCTAACCCGTGTCCGCCCCTATCGAATATTTTCATGTTTTCGCCCCTCCCCTTCTCCCATAAAGCTTTTAGTGCCTTTCTGAGAGAAATGTATGACAGAAACACTGACCACTTAAATATTAACAAGTTACCTGAGTCTATGGAAAAGCGTTGTAAATCGAGAGTGTTAATCGACTGTTTGATTGTAAAGACACCGTCGTCTACAAAACTTTTGCGGAATGCGCAATAGTAGTTTGATACTAAAGTAAGTAATGTACCCTGTCGTGACATGTGAAGTAGAATTCACGTGTCTCAGGAACCTCGGCATGTGAAGGTACAGTGTTGTCAGCACTATGCCCAACCGTCTTTTACTTTTCCTAGGGTAAGTCAGGTACTCATTAGAACTGAATGGACTCAGGGACAAAACACAAAACAGAATGTGAACTCGGGAATGTCGGATTAGATGTCGCATGCTCTACCATCTGGCGACGCCATCCAATCGTAACCTGATCACATTAGCTAAACGTCCTGTACTCTCCAAAGGAACGATTAGTTTTTAATTTTCAACGGATAGCGCAGAAGTTGATAAATCTACTGAAAGAAAAGAGTTAGCACATTGCATCTTTCCTACATCCGAACAATCTACACTATAGAAAATTCCTAAATGAATTGAACAGTCGAAAAGAACAACGAAAAATACTTACATAATTTGCGAAAAATTTCTTGGTGAAATTTCAGATCGCACTCTATCACCAACTGCAATGGTTCTGCGTAGATATAATCTTGTACTTTCATCCTGGAAATCAAATAAAATATCGTAGCGTAGCATGATAGATATGTAAAAGCCCATGTGCGCACTTCTCTCTCTAACTCTCTCTCTCTCTATATATATATATATATATAAGGGCGGGAGGGGGTAGTGTTGAATTCACAAAATGAATTGGTGATATGCAAAACATAAAACAACTAGATGGCGGCTTATGCTACGTCACGGGTCAGCTCGTTACTTATAATAAGACACTGCGATGCATGTGAAAAGCACGACATGTGATGTGTTAACTTTTATGAATACAAAATCTATAGCGCTGACGGAATGACTGACACACTACCACCAGCCTTTTATATATATATATATATATATATATATATATATATATATATATATATATATATATATATATATATACTAGCGTACCCGTCCCCCGCGCGTTGCCGCGGGGATAGAAGAAAGTTTGACGAAATTTATTAGAAGGATTTCACCAACGCGTAACCAATCATATGTTCTTAGACGCATAGGCGCGGCGTACAAACCCCTGGCTCCTTAAAAGTAACAGGCGCCATCGTGCCAAATAGCAATTATGATGCAGATTTCGTCATTCGCTAAAGTGACACAAATGAACAGGATTTTTTCCTTTAACACGTAAAAAAGTATTTGACATGTTTTAAACATCAGTGTGACTGATGCAATACGCTAGCGTTACTAATGGTCTATTATTAGATGCTCGATCTCAATTTCTGACTGGATTGTCTAATAGTAGATGCTTACTGCATCATTTGCACAGTGACGAAACTCTACAGTAGGCTCCTCATATTAAAAAAAAAAGTTATTTTTTTTTATCTTTGGCAAGGTGACGAAACTGTACCGAAGGATTTCCTCGCGTTACAAAGTTATTTTTAGAAGCCTGTTGTAGTTTTACCGCTGAATATAGTAGTACCCCTTACTCGCTATACAGGACGCTCGATTAACGGATGCCAAGTGCCAACATAGTCGCTCTAAAACTCTGGGCGCCAAACCGTGTATTTTAGTTTTCTTTTTCGCAGAAATATTCTCGGGAGTATTCTCATCTACTTCCTAAAGTTTCATGGCACTCGGATGAACCGCATCCGAGTTTTATTTTTTATATACCGTGTATAGAGAAAAAAAAATCGCTCCCCCCACCCGGGGGGGGGGGGGGGGTGGGGCGCCGCCCTTGCAATATTGAACAATATTTTTTTGGAGAACCCTACCATTGAGTGATCTAATCTTCTCCCCAAAGTCTCATAGCTATCGGATAACGGTGTCACACCAAAATCGACTTTTTTAATATACTGTATATAGAGAAAAATCGCACCCTCCCGTGGCGCCGCCCTTGCGAAATTAAAAATTATTTTTTACAGAACCCTTCCCTAGAGTGTTATAATGAACTCCCCAAAGTCTCATGATTATCGGATGAACGATGACAAACCAAAATCGACTTTTATTTTTATACACGTATATAGAGAAAAAAGAAATTGCGCCCTGCCGGGGCGTCACCCCGGCGAATTCGAAATTTTTTTTCCGCAGAAACCTCCCCAGGAATATTCTCAACAGCTTTCCAAAGTTTCACGGCAATGTGATGAGAGGTGTAGTAATGCATAAAGGACAAACAGACATACAGACAAACAGACACACACACAAACATACATTGATATATATATATATATATATATATATATATATATATATATATATATATATATATATATATATATATATATATATATATATATATATATATATATATATATATATATATATATATATATATATATATATATATATATATATATATATATATATATACTAGCCGTCCCGGCCAGGCCCTGCACTGGCATCTCTGAAAAACGTATCTGTAAAGGACCATAACTTGTGTATTTAGTAATCAGCATTTACCCAGCATTGCCCATCATGACCACAACCAACCAATACACACAAAAACACAAATATAACACTAACACAAAACAAATACACACGAAAACACAAAAATAAACGCAGAGACAAACCCAACCAGAAACACAAAGAAAACACAAACACTAACGCAAACAAAAAAGCAATCGAAAACAAATCCAAACGCAAACACGAACCCAACCACAACCAAACAAAACCAAAGCACACCAAAAAATAAACAACGGAAAAATAGCACAAACACAACCACAAACACAAAGAAAACACAAAAGCAAAGAAAAAAGCAAACGAAAACACAGACGCAATGAAAAAAAGCAAACGAAAACAAACCCAAACCCAATCCAAACGCAAAACACAACCACAACCGCAAATCCAAACTCAAACACAAAGAAAAAACAAACGCAAAAATAAACTCAAACTGTCCACAGTCTAGCCCGGGGCACCAAATCGCACCATGGTGATGTGCGGCGTAACCGCCTGATTCAACTTAATAAACGACTATAGTACCCAACTTATTCATAGTCTTTTGAACTCACTTACGCGAACGTAGGTACCATAGCGAACACGGGAAGGCCCGGGGCGCCAAATAGCACCCTGTCGGGGTGCCGGAGGACGCCCGGACTTGATTCACTTAAAGACTAGGGCAACCTTTCTTATCCTTAGTCTATCGCACTGTTTAAAACGAAATTATGGCCATAGCGCTCACATGATAGCCCAGGGCGCCAAATCGACCCGTGCAGGGCCGGCGGCGGACGCGCCTGTTTCAATTTAGTATACAAAATTATAATACTCCAAGCTTATCCGTAAATGAAAAGAAATAAACATATAGGATTTGAAGGACCTGGCTTATTGACTGTTATTGATTTTTTTTTTTAAATAATTAGTAAACAGTATGTTTAGTGTATAGAATACATAAAAGGCAGTATTAAAAATACCCACGACATTGCATTTAATCAATCCCCGATAATTATGTAATTATTTTTTTTCCTAACACCAAAACAGAGTAATAAAAATAAATTCTTTCTTCCCGCTTAATGGGATTTTAAAGGGAAGTAACTGTGTTTTCCAAATCAAGGGACGTAATGAGTGTTAAATTACAAAATGCAAATACATTTCAGACACAATTAGAAATTTTATAAACGTTGATACACTTTTTTTTTTAAATTTTATGTAATGTTCATAATTGAAAATTATTATTTTAAGTATGTAAAATGAAAATTGTTTTTAAACACGCTCAATATTAAATTTTTTAACTCATAAATTTAGACCATGAGCACTTTAATAATCTAACACTTGAATCCATGGAAGTATCGTTTTTTTTTTCAATTTTCTTATATTCCTATGTAATCCTCAATAAAAAAATTTTTACAAACATACACATATATATATATATATATATATATATATATATATATATATATATATATATATATATATATATATATATATATATATGTATATGGTGACAGGACAAATGATCTCAAGAAAAGCGTACTCAAGAACAAATGATCTCACGGATAAAAAGTATCTGGACAAAAATAATAGGAAAAATGATACCACGGGCAAAAATGCTCTTAGAAAAGATATCTCTGACAAAAAATCTCAGAGCACATGAAGGGATAGTGTGGTCACGATTAAAATACTTTTTCTATACTTCATATACAAGAAAGTAAAAAGGTGCATCACTTTATTATCCATTGGATTCCTTTAATAATATTAAGGATATAAAAGCTCGTAAAATGATAAGAATTGCAGGTAAAAATTCAACTTACACCAGCACCTATTCTTTTTAGTTGAACATCACCATGAACTTTGATGAAACCAATTTTGTCAGCTCGAAATGCAAACTGATACTCACAGAAATAAACATCGTCAACATACACCTGTGAAATTAAAAAAAATTGATTTGATTTTCTTTCATACGGAAGTAATATAATGTTAAAAAAATTAGATAAGAAAATAATTATGGATACCAACCTCATAACTTGTTCCAGTAAGTTTAATTATTACATTGAAATTGGCATTTCTTCTGAAGGGATTGCCTCCATCTGTTTGTTCACTGGCCCATTTACCCCCAGTCTTATGAGTTCTTACGACAAAATTTTTATTCATACGGACGCTGAATTGAAATGCAATGACTGGGAAACAATGGGATTCCGGACAAAGTTCAATATTAAACCTGAGCGTTGATCAAATTAAAATAAAGAAAATGGTTGTTAATTTAGTTTTTATACAAAAATTACACAAATCTTATCCACACACTTCTGTTACACCTAGTCGTCACTACTTACTTGATAAAAATAAACAACTGGCATTCATTTACAATATTCACCAAAATATCGATATCATAGAACCACATCACCTGGTCATAAGCATACACGAAGGTCGACTAGTTTGGAACCTTTCCCCTCCATCCCTCTCGAGTCGTTATATTTGAATGCCCACCCATTCAATAATATTGTTTTTTAGTTAACTTTTTAAAATCTTTAATTACTGATTACTAGATCTGCATTTTTATTTTATTTTTTAAATAATTTCAGGAATGATTTCCCTTAATTTTTTTTCGCATATTTATTCTTATATTAAATAATAGTAATGGGGATGGCACTTCTAGTCCAACTCTACCTGGCGCATAAGCATACAATTGTCGAATAATTCTAATTAGTACATTTTAATGATTTAAAATATATGTAAGTTAGACTACATCAAACAGACCACATTTTTTCCCAACATCATCGCTACCTTCTTTTTTCATGTCTACCTTCTTTTTTAACATACAACCTACCCCACTGTGTCATTCACTCATAATTTTATTGTTACTGATATATTGATTTTATATATATATATATATATATATATATATATATATATATATATATATATATATATATATATATATATATATATATATATATATATATATATATATATAGCCCCCCTAGTATTATCTTGTTCTTTCTCCCAAAATGTAGTTTTAAGAAAAACGCAATTGAAGTTTCATGGGGTCTGATTTACTATTCTAAAAACATTTTAACTCTTTTATTTTTTTGGAACAGGTATTCAGTGGACACTCACTGGGAAACTAGAGGATCTGGAGTTTGCAGATGATCTTGCATTACTCTCGCACAGGCTACAACACATGCAAGAAAAAGTTGATGCATTAGGAGCCATCTCTCAGCGCTTAGGTCTCAAGATCAACAAAGAAAAGACAGAAGTGATGAGAATTAACCAGTAGGCTCCAGTGACAATAGACGGAAGACAGGTAAATGATGTGCAAGAGTTTGTCTACCTTGGCAGCAAGATCAACAAAACGGGAGGCACAGAGGAGGACATACGCGCTAGAGTTAATAGAGGCCGCTGCGCTTTCACAGTCCTGCAACACATATGGAAAAGTTCGGCCATCTCCATTACCACAAAAATTAGGATATTTAACTCTAATGTCAAGGCAGTTCTGCTGTATGGAGCAGAGACATGGAGAGTCTCCAAGGCAAGCACAGCAAAGATACAGACCTTCATGAATATATGCCTTAGACAGATATTGAAACTGAGATGGCAGGACAAAGTGCCGAACATAGAACTATGGAGGTAAGCGAGGCATGAGCATTTGGGTGTGCAAATAAAAAGGAAGAAGTGGCGCTGGGTGGGTCACACACTGCGAAATGCTCACCCAAATGTTATACGCCAAGCGCTTGAGTGGAACCCCAAGGGAAAGCGGAAAAGATGGCGCCCAAGACAGTAAATTGCAATAAATATTTCTGTCTAATAATACTATTCAGCGGCTTATTTCAGACATGGCCGTAGAGGTTAAAGAACATTTTCTGAATTAAATCAAGCTTTCACAATTGTTTGCTTTTCAAGTTGATGAATCAACAGACGTGAGTTCGTGTTAGCAATTGCTGGTCTTTGTGAAATATATTCATTAAAATAATAGCAAAGAAGTGTTGCTATTTTGTCAAAATATGGAGAAAATAAATACGTTTTTTGAAACTGAATGATTAAAATGGGAAAACGGCTATGGGGTTTGTACGGATGGTGCGCCTTCTATGTTTGGGTCAAAATCGGGCTTTCAGATAAATGTAAAAGATTAACTCCCTTAACTTATTTAACCTTAGTCCGCTTTCCATGGCATTTCACCCCCCACCCCCTCATACTGGAAGCTACAACTTATTTAACTTAGTCAGCGTTTCATGGCAGTTCACCCCCCCCCCCCCCTGGAAGCTACCCACATATTTAAAAATATTTTTTCTTGTGCTTATCTAACTACTAATTGTTGATCGTTTTTATTAATTATTCTAAATCTATAAGACCATTATACCAAAATCATTCTTCATACGTAGTCTACATACACATTTAAAAAAGAACTATCGTATATACATTAATATCTACTGTCACACATACGTACAAAAGAGCATTTGTTCATAAGTATATAAGTGCGTATATAAGTACAAATACATACTTAACTTATTTTGTGTTATCTGCATAAGTAACTTTTTATTCAAAGCTTCAAGGCTTTAGTTTATGACTTACCTTGCAGCAGTTGAAGGGATGAAGCCATTTATAGTATAGGTCGTTTTGTCCCGGGATATTGACAGGATGCTAAAAGTGTAGGATGTTTGCCTCTGCAAAAATTATAATGGTTTTTCATAATCCATAAATAGGCTACATGTTGCTGAGAATTTAAAAATGTATATCTTTAAATGAAAATGATAATTACTAAATAAATGAGTTTTAAAAAAAAGGTTTTAAGAAAAAGCCTTTATACAATTATTCAACAAAAAGGGAATAAATAGCGGAAGTAATCTTTCCTAAACGTTCTTGTATATTCTTAATGAATAGAAACAGGGATTGCACTTTCATCAATCCAGATGTTTTGTGTATTATTATACTTGCCACCAAAAAAAAAGTATTACCAATGTGTTGCCTGAAGAACTCTGACGAGTATGAAAAGATTCTGGATAACTGCTGGAGATATTTTCCCCTGTAGCTTCCTGTATGAAGCTCGTCAGAAGAAGCGGCAGTAAATATGAGGTTAACTTCAGGATATCCATTTTCTGAAATAAATAATACCCTAAACACATTTTTTGAAAATTCAATATAATATTCTATGTGTCGAGATTTAGTCACACTGGAACGGCATGGTCTAGCAAAAGAGTGCTAGACTGTTTACTCGAAAGTACTGAGTTCGAATCCGTGTTCAAATCAGTATACCTTCCGTAAGACCACCTAGTAAGGGCATAGTGCTGACCACATTTTCTCATCGTATACCTAAGTAAAAAAAAAAACAGGTCAACTACTTCACTTGCCCCATGACCGTCATGACCGGAAAGGAAACTTAGTCACAATGCAGCACTTATCAAGATGTAAGTCTACATTTTAATCTATAAATCTTTGGCTTCCACAAAAAAACTTCCGTATGTTTTTTCAGGAAAAAAGCATTTCCTCCTGGCAAATTCGATCAAACTGTTCGGCTAAAAGAGACGAATTAAAATATTTATCCCGCAGTATAAAATTTAGACCTACCGTGTTCCTCTTTCCCACTGCACAATTGCTTATCCGAATGTAAAGTACAACAAAGTAGAGTTAAATATCAACCAGCACAGCAAAATATGAAGAAATAATACTGTAACAACCCCAGCAATTCTTGAAAAATTATAACCCACAGTTATAAATGAACATCTTCACGTGTTCGAGTCTGATTGGCCAGCAAAACACTACCGTCTAGATATCACGTGGCTCAGTGTTTTTTTAACATAGGCGTTTCATTCAAACCTATTTCTCTCAGCTTCTCTATCTATTAGTTGTATACATAAGTATTCATTAGTATAATTTTTATTTAATTTCTTTTATTTCCAAATGTATTTAGATCGAAATCTACTACTAATAAATGTTACACAATTTGTGGAAACATTTTAGAAGAGTTATACTGTGTTATTTGTAGGGAATCATGTACTTATTTTGTTGACAAATATTTAATGAAATAAGAATCGGGAGATTTGTAGCTGCAGCCTTTTGCTCCTCAGGAAAACACATAATTTGGTAGACTGGGGAAGAAACTGTTGCTCTAATAAAAATATTTTTATTTAGCAAATGTTTGGAGGTTGTACTTTTTACAACGCCTATGATAAAACGGCTGTTGTTCGAAATGTTCCAAACAATAATAAGTTATTGATTTTGTTTAGATCTTAAAGCTGTTGGATGAAATTAGTAATGTCAAGTGGGGGGGGGGGGGGTGTTAGGGCTGCGAGAGAATTTAACTAGACTTGATCGACTACCATGTAAAGCGAGCCACTATCATTATCAGCTGTTACACGTAACGACAACACAGGCTATAATCACTCGACAAGATGGCCATTATTTTCTTTCTCAAGTCTTTATTTAAATACTGGTCTTCTCTATTCCGGATACAATTGTCTTTAATATACCCATCACACTGTGTACCTCACACACTCACTACCTAGCCGCAACTCTCTAGCTTGAATACTATAATAAACAGTTTCTACTCAAAAACGTTAATTTTATAGTCTCTACTTTCATCTGAGTCATCAAATCGATGGATTTATTATATCTCAACATTTATTCGCACAAAAATACCCTGATAAATCACAGCACACCAATAATCCAACATACTCTTCCACCTAACAATATCTGCTAATGACTTCAGTAGTCATTTCATATCATCGGTATTGCTTAACACAGATGCTGATTACACAATCAGCAAGACGCTTAAACATTTCAGTAATTCTGCTCATCGTGGTATAATAGAGCTGCTTCTGACGGTTCATGAAATTTATTTTAGCATAAGATCACTTAGACTTCCTATAACAAGTTCGTTTGATGACATCTCTAATAAAGTATTAAAGATTTCAGCTCCAATAATCTCTGAAATTTTGACATATATCTATAACCTCTGTATTGCCAAACAATATTACCCCAAACATTTTAATTATGGTAATGTTATACCACTACACAAAAAGATAACATCCAAGATCCTTAAAACTACACGCCAATTTCAATACTTTCTTCCCTCTCCAAACCATTAGAAATGCATATAGACAAATGCATGTCAAACTACCTAGAAATGCATTATCTTTTCCACAGTCATCAATCTTGTC